ATACTTAATAATATATTTAAACAAGACTGTCACGCCCTGAGTTTGGCTCGTGAAGCTGGTTTTCCCTATCTGTGCATCTAAGTTTCGGTTCCAACCTTGGTTTTGAAATTTTTTAAACCTCGTTATAGCTCTCCAATAAAATATTAATTAAATTTCCTATATCTACACTATCGTAAGGGAAATGTCAAAAAGTAAAAATTATACAATCATCTGACCATACGTCAACTAATTTAATTTGCAGCTGGCTTGCAGCCTTGGATTTAAGTAAATATGTTTTTGATTAGATTAGTTAGACTTTAGTTATAGAGACAGAGAGAACGTTCTTTTTATTTCTCGATTAAAAAGCAAATTCTTTAAATTGCACAAAGAAATATATCAATAAATAAACAGTAGACTTATTCGTCAAATAAACTCTTGTATTCATTGACATCAGCTCAACATTTTTTACTTAACCACAGCTCTTTTGTCTCAACCACAGCTTTTCTATCAAAGATAAATGTTCTGGCTAAAGTAAAATTCTCAAATACCAATATAAACGGCTGCCTCTCCCTTCTCTTAAATGAATTAAACGCACAGAAATTAAATCAACTTTAAGCCAAAAGGCCAGGCCAAAAATAGTTAGATTTCAAATAATTTGAAAAGGAGAAAATCAACTATAATTGCACGCACTTAAGCATATTTGCTTTGAATACCCCGTAACTATAATAATGGGTGAGGTTGTATAATGAAAAGACATTAATTCAATATTTTGTGAATATCATATCACACGACACATGTTCAGGTCGAGTATTCTCGACTTTAATACTAATACGCTTTAAATATTCTTTGGCTCTTTTTAATATTAAGGATATGTGTAACATTCTTTGTAATAGTTACTGCTGTCAACGGCATTTAGCAGTTTTCTTTGAAAACCCAAAACCATATTGAATCTAGTTGAATTTGAACAGAAGGAACTAAGCCGCAGGCAAATGAAGTTAGGCGACTCCAGAAACAGAATTCAACACTAATTTTCCTAAAAACCATTGCTTGAAGTTTCCGCAGAGCTGTGTGAAGCATGTAAAACAATAAAAGCGCGGCACAGTTTGGTTGATTTAGGCCGGGAAAGCGGGGGTGGAGCTTGTTGGTGGAGCGCATGAAAGGGGTGTGGGTAGGTTCTAGTGACTTCTAGCCGCGATTTTCAACTTAATTAATTAAAAGCAAATTAAAAGTTTTAATCTCTGCGCGGCAAATTGTTGCTACAAAAGGATTTTCAGTTGGCCCAAAACTCCAGCTGCCTGGCGAAGGGGCAAAAAGTGTCTACAACATTCCATGGGCTAAATATGAAGAAGGCTCAGCTGATGAACAGCAATAATAAACTGTGGCAAAACATTACAAACTGTTGTTGTTGTTGTTGTTGTTGTTGATGTTGTTACTGTTGCTGCTGCTGTTACTGCTGCTGCTGCTGTTAATGCTGCTGGCAGTGTCTGATGTGAAAACAATCTTGGCGATGTGCACAGCAATAGGAAGAAGAGGAACAACAGCAATTTGTTGACTTGTAAAAGGGTTGGCTTTGTTGGGCTGTTTAGTTCTCTAAGCCAGTGTAAGCAGATTTTATCTTAATTCAATGGGAAAATTAACAAATTTTCAAAAGCCAAACAGCGGCTGACACAACACGCAAAGTCAATTTGTTAAAATGATTTTCATTGTGTTGCCAACAACTTTACCTGAGAAACAAAGAGCCGAGGACCCAAAAGATAAACTTATTTTAAAGAGCTGTACGACTGAGTCGAGATTAAAGCTGTTTACAAGAAACTTTCAATGGGCTGCTTTCTCTTGGACAAATCAATAAAATGACTTTAATTCTTGGCTCGGGTTTTGGCAATTTAAAGCAGCTTATTGTTTTTCACTGTCAAGCTGTTAAATGTTTGTAGTGGCACGATTTTCACTTGATCCATGACAGCAAATCAGAGGCTAACCGATTGCACGTAGCAGCAGCAACATGACCAATACAGCCAATACACTTGCCAGCATGCCCCTCGCCCGATGCTTAACATCACTTGCACTGAATTTATGATGTGCTGTCATCGCTGTCGCAATGTGCTGCATTCATCACGTGGCCGTCAGTTGCATGTCCAAGGCGTCGGATGGCTGTCATAAAGGATGCTCATCAACGGTTTGGGCCCAAGCTGGCTGCTAACGCGGCTGTAAAGCGTTTATGGGCTGCACGAAGAAAGCTGAGCTCTGGCCGAGTGGACAGCTCAAGCTCAACTGGAGCTGATTCACAGCGCAAGACACGCCTGGAATATGCAAGGAATATTTTCAAATGGTTTCTTTTACTAATTGTGCGGCTTGCAACTCACTGGGTGGCAGATTCAAATTTATAGGCTGTCTTAGTTGTTGTGGGCGTGGCCAGCGTCTTGTTTTGCATTTACAAATTGAAAATTTGCTGGCCAAGAGCGCCGCCGCCTGCCAACTAACGTCTACGAGAATGGCGCCGCATTTAGTTGCAACATTTTATTGGTGACTTTTTGGCAGAGTTTGCCTTTTGCTGTTATTCTTGTTGTTGTTGTTGTTGCTGTTGCTGTTCTTCCTGCTGGCGCTGTTGTGGATGCTGTCACTGGCTGGTGTACTCGTAAATGTCAGGCCATGCATTTGCATTTCAATTTCCATTACAATATACAATTTGGAGCACCAGCCCAGCGATGGACGCCCACCTAAAATGCCACGCCTCCGCCGCCCCGCCGCCCCGTTGCTGTCGTTGCTGGCCGCGATTAGCGCGCTATAAATCTACAAATTTTGCTGCATTTTAACAATGTTTTTCGGTTCGCTATGGCAGCCAATTTTCTCCGCTTCTCCGGCTGTTGTTGATGCCATCGTTGTTAAATGCATGCAGCGGCCATAAACCAAAATCATTCAGCACAGCCACGCCCCATTGAGAGCCGTAAAACAAACATGCACATTCCGAGCCCCGATCAAATACTCCAAAATATCCAGCTCATTTGGCTAAAGCTTGCTCGGAGCTGGGCGCATTTGCATTATTTGCTGTCCCATACGCATTTAATTATAAGACCAGCTTTCGCATTTGTCATGGCGTACACTGATATTAACATATAACCCTTGGTGTATCCCATAGCCATCCCTTGCCATCCGATTTATTCAATAAAAGGACTGATCAACAATTTAAAACAACAGACTTTTTGCTTTACTTTACATTTCTTAAATTTAATATCTTCCTACAAGCTTCAATTTAAATGCTTACTTGGAGTTTGGCTGGGTTGCAAATATAATTTTACTCGAAATAGACATAGAATTTACCTAAGAAAATGTAAATGTGTCCTAGCGACAAGAATTTTATAATTTGTTTCTTGTTTCTAATTTGCCCGCTTGTAAAATGCTTTTATAATAATCAATTTTTGTTTGATGTTGGCAAGACTTCAGGAATTTAATAACTCACAATTCCATATTCGATGAACGACTGTGGAATTGCCGAGATAATATTTTGTTTTTCGCAGTCACTTAGCTTACAAGCCCTTTTCAAGAGGTCTATTGCGTATGCTCCCAGTTATCCGGTTGCCAGGGGCGACCCTGGATTTGAGCTTGCGTTGTGTCAGCAAAGTTTTCGCAGAATTCACAGCGCGTTGCTAAGAGCTTCAGTTTTGGGTAAATTCTTGTGGTACTTGTTCTTTAATCCCTGTGCATAGCACCAGCATGCGGCAACATTTTGCGTTACGCATACGCCGCGTGTGCCTGTGTGCCAGTGTGTGTGTGTGTGTGTCGATGACGCAGCAAAACGCGTACGAGGGGAACTTTAAACAGGAGCCCGATGAGAATGACTGCACAATTATGAGAAAACAGGGAGTGGAGAAGGGAAAGTGTGCAAAGTGGCTGCGTCTTGCCTGGAACCAATGGATCGTAAACATTAAGGCCAGGAAAGCGATAGGGGCCAGGTTGTTGTTAGTGCACCTGCCGTGTCTATAACAGATGCGCATGCACCTCGCGTTGCACTCTGTGTGCCTTTTGAGTCTGCTGAATCTGGAGCAGCAGCAGCTAATTAAGACAAACTAACCTGTGCCAGTGCGTGTGCGTGTGTGTGGTCTGGCCCGGGTTGCGCTCTGGGATCTTGGAGAGTGTCCTTGGACGTTGCGGGTGGCAGCGCTGCTCAAGGGCGACCCAAAGCCGCCTCCCTTCGGCGTGCGAGTGTTTTGATATACGGCTTTGTTACAATCACAATGTGTTTACATGGCGCACAACAGCAAACGCCGCATGTGAGACCCGTGAGCCAAGTGCACTTAATTTGTTTGCTTAATTCACAAAACATGAGAGGGCGATGGCAACGGTGCCATCGTGGCAATACCTGAGCTTGAGCCAGGCCAGCATATGCTTGTATGTCCTGCCAACGGCTTGGGCTGATTCGTGTTAAGTCTATTTGCTGCCTGTTTGCATAGCACTCGCCACTTTTGCTGGCAGATGCCACTGCATGTACTTAGAAGCAAGTGTACCGAGTATATGAAAACAAGGCCATCTCCATCGTTTATAATGCCGTGTAAGTGCGGGAGTTGTTGGTAAGTTAGTGTGTGCTTGTAGCAAGCTTATTGCCAAAATTATGCAATGATATTCGTAATTGGTTTTAATCCCCAAAACTAAAATAGCAGCATAATTGGCACTGCCCTCGCAGCTGGGCATGAACTAATTGTTATGCTAATTGAGCGAACTTACCAAATTCGACAGGCTTATGGTTGGGTTCTTCTTTACGCCTCACGAGTGCTTTTGTTTTTGTGTGTGATTTTATTTTGTTGCTGTGCTCTATTCGAATCACACATTCTCTCTATAACAATGAACCCATATCAAATCTATATTTATTCACATATTAGATCTTTGTAAAAGAATATACTCCTAATCCCTGACCACACTAATTCACATAATTATCAATGTATTTTTTTAGCCTGTTGCAGTTTTATAGATGATATTATATATGAGATACTTTCAACCATTTCTATTTTTGCTAATGAAACTCGTTTGAATAATTGTATTTTATTTCTTTATTTCGTCATATAATTTTGCCATTATCGTTTATAATTTTGAGCTTAGTTCCTTACGCGTTGGCGTTTTGTTTTTTTTTTTGTTGTTTTTTTTGTTTCTTCCTATGGCGTGCTTTGATTTGGTTTCAAATTGTATTTTTTGTGTGGCGTTTTCTTACCACTCATAAATAATTTATAATTATGCATATTGTTTAACATATATTTCTGTTTTGACTTTTCTCGCTCTTTTGAATATTTTCGCTACTCCTTTCTTTACGTTTCAATATTTGTTTTTCTTTTCCTGTAGTTTAGTTAGATTTTACATTTTAATTTTTATTTTCGTTTTCGTTTTCGTTTGCAAGACGTTTTTATTTTTATTTGTATTTTTTTATTTGACAATTTGATTTTCTTGTTTGATTTACAACAGTTTAGCTTGCAGTTTAATTCAGTTTTGTTTTAAATATAATTTTCAAGTAATCTGCCTATTTCTAAAAGAGGTTTATGCGTCGCAAAGTTCAAAGCTGCTTTCAAGAGTATTTGCTGAACTTTGTGGAATTTTCATGAAATGCAGAAAATTTCCCATTTGTCTTATAACTAGAAATGTACGAGGATTTTGCACAGCACATAAACCTCTGCAATTAATCCTAGTTATAGATTTTGCTCTGCTTCAAATATTATTTTTTAATTGGCTTACAATTATTATTCAACTAACATTTACTCTCTAAATTCATTTAGTTTGACATTTATTCTAATCATGTAGTTATATAAATATATTTAAATGTAGCCTAAAATAAAGTTCATATTTTGCAGCCAAAACAAATGCTTCACAACATATACGAAATATGCAAAAAATATAAAGCCACAAATTAACCACAATGCGAAAATTCAATTAAAATAACTTTACTCCCATTCATTTAATTTATTGGCATTTTCATACAATTATTTTTTTTTATTATGTCATAATTAGCCTTTCATTCGAACATTAATTAATATTTGTTTATGTTATTTTTACTTTACGCGCCGTGCATTATTGCATGTATCTATTGTTGTTGCGTTCATCTTGTTTATGATTTTCGTTTTGCCTTGCATTATTTTTTCTTTTTTTTTGTGTGTTTAATTTTTTTACAAATAATATTTACATAGCTTACGTGTCTAGGCTGCGGTTGTTGGAGGGTAGGGTGTACTTAATATATAATTATTTTTTACTTATATTCTTAATTTTTTATTCTCTTTCGTTAGTTATATAATGTAAATTAGGTTGCAAATGAGTTGTTTTTGTTTTTGTTTTTGTTTTGCAAGTGCATGTATTTGTTTATTTTAGTTTATTGATCTTTTAAATTTATGTTTGTGTATTTGTGTTTTATTTGCAGATTTTGACATCACACCACGCCTTTAACATGCATAATGCCTGTATGCATTAAGTATATATATTTGTATTAATTATGTAAACATTTTTTCGTAGCTGCACTCGGATTTGCTGTGCATGTGTTTGAGCGCAATTAATTAACCGCCGGCATTTGGTAATCACTTGTTTTCAGCTCAGATTTTATAAATTTGCAATAGGGTAATTGAAAATAATTGGGTTTTAATCATAATCTTAGCATTTCCGTTGCGGCAGCGTGAAAAATATTAATTTTAAATGCACGACTATTAATTTTTTTGCTTTTTATTTGTTAAGCGTACAACAACAACATAAATTATAAGGGTTACCCACAAGGACATGCCGCTTCGCGTTCACAACGCGAACCCGTTTTGAAAACATTTCTTTCTTTATTTTGTATTTTTTAATATTTTTTTTTTTAATATATTTTTTTTTTGTTCCGTTGCTTTTTTATAATTTGCAAGCTGCACTTTTGTGCATTGTTTGCATTTGTTATTTTTTAATTACACTTTGCGGGCTGCTCGCCCGGAGCCTGTGCTTCTTGTTGTTGCCTCGTTATTGTGTCTGCTCGACCATTTGCTTATGTGGCATGTCCAGTGTATCCTGGTCCTGGTCACAGCTGTGCCGCCGCCAGGGTTGCCACGGCCAGAGTCAGCACGCCGATAGCACTGCAGCTGCACTGTGCAGCGCCGGTGAGTGCTGAATTATCCGGATCGCCATTGACATAGCGCTTGGAGCCCTCGAGGCCCAGCAAATTGGGTGAAATAGTGGTCGGCGGCGCCATGCTTAGCCCAATGCGTTGCTGTACATTCTTGTGGAACACATGCAGTATGGATACCTCGCAGAGCAGCAGTATGCTGGTCTGATACTTGGGCATCGCCTGGAAGAAGCCCTGCAGCACCTGGCTGTGCGGATAGATTTCCAGGGAGGAGTACGTGGTCGAGCCCTCGAATGCGTCCTGCGTTATGCGCTGCAGCGGCGTTTTGTATACCTGTCACGGCATTAATCAGCACCTGGCGATTTACTATAAATCTTTAGCTTGTACCCACCTTGCGGCCGTTGATGTACCAAGTGATGTTCGCCGGCGGATAGGAGGGTCCCACTGTGCACACTGCCTTGAAGTTGTCGTTGACGCCAATCACCTTCTTGTCCACCTGCATGGCCGGATCGTCTTTGGGCAGCTCAATCACCTGCATGTACGCCGACCGAATATCAGTATGGAACAACGGTGCATCTTCGGACACCTCACACTGATAGCTACCAGTCAGATCTCGTGTGACTCCTTTCAGTGTGACCGACGTTGCATCCGAGTTGGTTAGCTGCAACGAGAATCGTCTCTTTAATTAAAAGGAGAATTTCGACCGCAGCTCAACCTTTGAATCTCTTAATTAAAATTGAATTAAAACGTATAAATTGCGTTCAAGAGCCCGCAATGGAGGACGTCATGTGGCATGGCCATTTTGCTGATTATACTCTTTGCCAACAGGTTTACTAAGCATGAACAGAATTCAAAGAAACGAATGAAAAATGAAAATTAACGACGTAAAATTGAAAATTCATATTGATTTGTTTTGCTCAATAAAAGTTGAACAGACAGTTTAAATCCTGCTTAAATCCCTGAAATACATTTAATCTGTTTTTAATTGAGAATAGAGTTGAATATGAATGCGAATATATGGCAGCACAGAATTCCACACACAAAAATGAAAGTGAGCTGAAAATGTAATAATTTAATAGACAGTTGCTTTCAAACGTTGCCAGGCAAAAATTTATTGAATGTTCATATATATTAATCAAATGCAATCAATTGCACTTTGAAACCACGACACAATTTATGGTCTTGGTAGATTTAACTTTAGTCCAACTCGGCCATCATCAAAGGAGAGAGTGTACAATATTCGTTTGGATATTGGCAAACAAATATTCTTGTTGCTGGCAGCCTTTTGGCATTTGTTCTGATAATTGGCAGCAACCGCTGGGCCACTTGGCCCAACTCGAGCGTGGCCTGCTGCTCAAAATCCACTTCAGCACAGCAACCAAGTAACAGCACTCGCGATTAACGTGTGTGCTGTTCGCTGTGTTGCAGATTTGAGATCCTTGCATTTAAGTGCAAACAACCCTTTTACGTTTTGCATATGCCGCCATCCAATGCCGCACATGTTTTTTGTTCATTTGCATCTATACTAATCCTCTCTGTGTTCCTAGCCCTCCTGCCCTCCTATTGGTACTGCCGGCTGCCAGCTCCGAGCTGTACTGCATGAGTCGGTCCTCCATTGTGTTGGCCTCCGGGCGCCCACTGCTATTTACGACTGTTTCAACACTTTAGCGCATTGCTCTCTGGCTTTCTATTTAGTTGCCGCTGCCATTGCTGTTGCTGCATGGTCATGTGTTGTTTTCCAATATTGTTTTAGTTTGTTTCTAGATTTGTTCAAAAAGTTAAAAGAGTATATTGGCTTCAAGCAACCTCTTTGTATGTAATACAATCATTTTTGGGAACGTTTGCAACTGGAGACTTAAAATTTTGAATACAGTGAAAGCTTCCTTAACTGGACACTCATCATCGCACTTATTTTGTCCGCTTATGGGAAAGATACAAAGATCTTATTGAAATAAAATAAAATTTCACGCAACGACAATTCCTCTTACTCAAACAAAATAACAATTTCAAAATGTTCTTCAAGAGATAAAAAACTTCTTCTTGGTGCCATTTTAAAAAAAATGTCTTTGATATTTAAACAATCAGCAATTTCATTGCCATTTGTCTTAGAAGGGGAACCATAAATTTCATTTGCATCAACACAAATATGAAGCGTGATAGTTTGTGAACAAAATTTCTCAAAAGTTAGAGTACGTGTTTAGTTATTGGAGCGTACACCTATATTGAAATAATTATGAAAAGCTTGCGTTGACGAATTTTGTCAGGTTATGGGAGTTGTCGGTAATGGAAGCTTTCTCTGGATATATTTGATTGGTTATGTTAATAAGTCTGGAAATTGCCTCAAGCTGGATACTTGAAATTTCAAAAATGATTCCTGTATATCCAGCTTAAAGTGTTAGTATTTTTGAGGCTAGCCGCAAAAATCGGAATCTACCCAGCGCTTAGATTAATGATGTTCGCCTCCAAATATCGATTCAATTTATTGAAAGCGAGATCGAATTTTAAATGAAAAGCTATTAAAGAGCACCTCTAAAAATCGATTAAGAAACTCGCCAGGAATAATATCATACCTAATGCTGTTATTGCATACTGTGAACGAGTATTCCGCAGTCGGTTACGCCCGACTGCAACATTCTAAGTCCATTCGTAGATAATGCTATCGATAAGGGCGCCACAGTAGCTCCACCAGAGCCGTAGCAAATGCCAACGCCATCAAGCCAATAGCCACAGCTGGTTTAGTGCTCGCGGCTCCTTTTTGGCATATTGGAATTTGCTGCTGGCTCTCGGGTCTGGATTCTGGATTCTGGGTGCTGGGTGCACTCTCTGGCGGGTTGTGGTTTTAGTGGCTTTTGGATTTGTCGACGTTGATCTCGTTACGCAATCGTAAAATGAAAACAAATGCGAAACGTATTGATAAGGTTATCTATATGCTCTGTGTTCGTGCTGTTGGCGTATGTGTGAGCTATGAATAAATGCGCGATATGCCACAGAATCCAGCTTAGTAATAGCCGCATTTGGCATCCGGGAACACGAGTTATGAGTGCAACATTCTAGTTGCACTGCACATCACAGTTGGATATTTTTGCAGTTGGAGTTGGAGCAGGTCACGAGTGCCTGTTGCACAGCTGGGCGGCTGGCGATTATAATGTACAACGTGAACAGGATTAGTCGCTTTGAATAATTATCCCAAATGCATAACGTTATCTGTGGCCATAGCAGACACATAAGCATAAACAATAGTAAAACATTTCAAAATTCCATGTCAAATATTTTCTATTATTCTGGTATACTCTATGTGAGTTGCAAGTATGAAGTATGCGGCTCTTATAATACTCATTTGCAAGGTAAATGATAATGTTGGTTTTGTGTCTTGATTTCCATTCCTCTGTCCGAACGAACACCCTTTTTTTTGGCACTGGGATCATGGTGAATCAGGATTATGTATATTGTTAGACGTTTTCGAGCTAAAATTACAACATTTTGCATGAGGACTTCTGTGGAACACATCTAAGAATTGATCTGAATACATTTGGCTGACTGCAGGGCATTAAGCTGCAAGGTTCTTCCTAGTTTTTAGTTTTTAATCTGTCACATAATTAGATGCTCTTTATGGAGCTACAGCTGCGACTGACTGTGAGCTCAACCCATTCAGAGCATTAAATGACGTTAATTATGTAATCAAACAGACATATATGTGTGTGTGTGTGTGTGTGTGTGTGTGTGTAAACATATACATTTATATTTGTATGCAAATATTGTCCCTCTACAATTTATTTATTTAGCTGTTTGTCGTTGACGTCGTCGTTGTTGTGCTCTGCGGCTGGCTGGAATGACGGTTGCTCCTGCTCCCCACTTTGTTGTCATATTTATTTAATTGCATATGACTTTTGTTGTTGTTATTATTGTTGTTGTTGGTGTGCCGTGCTTCGTGGCTGGCGGAAACGGAAGTGGCAGCGCCAGGAAGCGCGCCAAACAAACGCAAATGTCTGCCATTTTGAGGAACTATGTGCCCGGTCGAATCACAGTCACACACACACACACACACACACACACACACACATATTTAAGTTACTCATATGAAAATGTTGCGACATTTGTAGCTGCTCTGGCAGGCCGCAGGCAAGAGAAATGAATTCTAACTAAGCCCCAACTCAACTCAACTCATCTCATCCCGACTCGACTCGACTTGAATCGACTCAGCTAAACTGAACTCAAGTTGCTTTTGTTGTGTTGGAAAAGTTTTTGTCGTTGCGCTTTTTTTCCTGTTTTTATTTATTTGTTGGCTTTTAATTTCTATTTATATTTTATATTGCTTTAGTTGCCGCAGCTGCAACTCTGTGGCATAAAAAATTATGCTACTAAAGCACAATTTTGCATTACAAACATACAACATACATATGTATGCGTGTGTGTGTGTGTGTGTGCTTGTGTGCGTGTGTGTGTGTGTAAGTAAGTGCGAGAGTAAAGTATTGTTTCAATAATTCTGGCTTTATGAAATAATAACTTTACTGCAAAACCGCTTCGCCGGCTGAGCAGCCAACGTCGAGTTGTAAGAATACAATGAATTTCGTTGCAATGCCCCCCCCTCCCCCCATCGACCCAGCCCGATCCTACTCGGTGTGCGTGTGTGTGTGTATGGGCCACACTCGAGTACTTTTGCAGCTGTAGCCACGCTTCTCGTTGCTGCTGTTGTTGCCTCCTCGCTGAGTTTCCGCTGTTTGTTGTGCAGCAATTTTAATTTTGCCAACGCTGTCGCATGCAGAACACACACACACACATAGACACACGGACACACTCATGTAGGCACACATACAAACGCATATAAGTGTGCGTGGCTCAGCTGCAGCCTCGTTTGCATGCAACACTTTATGAATTATTGCTGTATCAACTCAAGTCGCGGTAGTCAGCCAGCCACACACTCCACACACACACGCGCGCACACACACACACGGCCACGCACATGCACACACAGGCACACACATGGGCACGTATTATGTCATTCCGAATTTCCGTTGCCTCGAGCTTTGTTGGAACTAACGGCGCTAGCGTTGGCGGCTCGTTCCCGCTTCCATTCCCGCTTCCATTCCCGCTCGCATTCAAAGTTCCCGTTCCCTCCCCCCCACCTGCTCTGCTCTCCCATCCCTTGCCGTTCGCCTTTATAGTTGCCCGTTGGCATTTTACAACTTTGACTGCCTAACGCGCTGAGCGCAGTACGCAGTGCGCCTGGCAAAAACCGACCACAAATTTACTGAATGAGATGTTTCCGGTGCGGTGGTTCTTCTTCTATTTGTTGCTGTTGTTGTTGCTGTTGTTGCCCATTGCCATTTGTTGTTGATTTCGTTGGTGTTGTTGCCGCTGCTGTGAACAATTTTTGGTGTTTGGAAAATGCATGGCTTTTTATTGTGCTCTTTGTTGGCGACGGCGGCACACGCCATGTGAATGCGCCGTGCCAGGGAATTGCGCCGGGATATGGACAGTGTCAGATGGCCGGACCTACCAGCTAGTTACCAGTATATATATCTATATATACATGTGCTCTGTGCTTGTCTTGAATGTAATGCGCATTTCGCATTTCGCAACTCGCATTTTTATTTATTATGTTTATTTGCAGCCATTTGTCAAACATTTTTGCCAAGGCCGCCAACCACATTTGCAGCCACA